ACACAAAATAATAGGACATGATGTAGAACCCTAGCCACTAAGGACGGTTAGATGAAGTTATTCACATTGTGCAAATGTCAATTTTGGGAAAGATATGGTTGGGGAGGATTTTCAACTATACATTAAAAATTTAAGGCACTTTCTTACCTAGTGATGTGAAAGTTGCATAAGCAGTGACCCGCCCTTACGTGGACGAGGAGTATTGCATCGAAGGCACATTCCGACACACACCAACTCACTCCCAACCACTTTCTATTCTTGAAGTTAGCCGCCCGCAGTACCGGTTTAGCGCATTTCGTGCGTCAGAGAGTTTTTGGTTCGGCGAACGGCCGAGTGTGTCAGTTGCGGGTGGGGCCCCGAGAAGGCAAGGGTTGAGGAGGCGAGGGCCAATGTAATGCCCAGGGCTATTATAATGGCGGTTACAAGGCTTTTATAATATTCCAATACAAAATAGTAGCTTTAACTAGCCTTAATAGCCTTGGAGATGAAGATCTTCTTGATGCCTTTGATGAAAAGCACTTGGAGTAGTAGTGTAGGGAGACTTGTGAGAGAGCCCAAAAGGACTTAGAGAAACAATCCCATTTCCAATTGTTTTGTTGGAGTGGGAGGTTGAGAATGAGCTTGCTTAGCTCAGACCCCCTCAATACACCCCTTGGGGAACTATCCCAACCATGGTTTCCATGGTGGGATGGTTCCTAGGCTTGGAGCCTATGTGGCAATTGTGTTGGGTTGGAAAACCCAACTTAGAACCATTCAATGGTTGTGTTTAGGATAGAGTAGATTGTAACACTTGTTTGGCAGTTTCTGATTGGTTGGAATTCCAACCTTCAACATTCTCTTGGTTGAGTTGGAAATGTTCCAAACCTCCAAAGTTGAGGCTTGGCAAACCCAAACCAAGTTTCATCCCAACCAACTCAACCATCTTCTCCAACTCTTCCTTTGTCGAGAGAAGTTCTCAACAATTGACTTAGAGAGAGATCGATGGTTGTTAGCTCGGTAGTTAGGGTAATACGTTACACTCCTCCCCCCCCAGGTGGCAACGTCCCCGTTGCCCTAGGGTGCTTCTGAGGACGAGTGCTTCGAGCACGGCGCACCACATTACGACCAGGGTCAACCCCGTCCACTGGTTGTGGGCCTGCTCGTAGAGCCAGGTCTTCCATATACGCTTGAACCGCTGCTTCGGTCAAGTGTTCCTCAGGCTCCCAAGAGTTGTGTTCCGGCCCATAGCCTTTCCACTGAATTAGGAACTCACGAACAGTTTTGCGGCCGCGTTGTCGATCACGGTGCGTTAGCACACGCTCGACTTCGTAAAAGAGTTCCTTCTCGAGAGCGATGGTTGGTGGCGGTAAGTACTTGCCTTCTGCAACGTACTTATTCAACAGAGACACGTGGAAGACGTTGTGAATCTGCAATGTTGCAGGCAATTTGAGCCTATATGCGACCTCACCAACACGCGCAATCACCTCGAAGGGCCCAATCCAACGAGGGAAAAGCTTTCGTGCTCTCGGGATCTTGAGACGAATGTTCTTCGTACTCAGTAATACTTTGTCGCCAACTGCAAAAACGACTTCCCGGCGTTTCATGTCGGCATAGGATTTTTGCCTCTGTTGGGCAAGCTGCAGCCAATGGCGAGCGGACTTCAATGCCGCTTGCTGATTTCCAATAAAGTCCTTTGCGGCAGGGATTTTGAGGTTCTTAATCCCATGCGTCGCGGGGGTTGTGGGGTGCCGACCACAGTTCAGGACAAAGGGTTTCTCATGGGTGCTTTCATGCACAGAATTGTTTACAGCGAATTCCACGACTGGCAACAATTCATCCCAATCGTCCTGAGTTGGGCTTATGAAAGAACGAAGCATTTGCTCAAGAGTGCGGTTGGTCCGCTCTGTCTGTCCATCCGTTTGCGGGTGGAACGCAGACGACATCTTGAGTTTCGTTTCCGAGTGTCTTAATGACCTCTTGCCAGAACCGGCTTGTGAAGCGCGGGTCTCGGTCAGACACCATCACACGAGGCAAACCGTGTAAGCGGAAAACGTGTGTCACAAACAACTTTGCCGTATCTTCCGCAGACACGTCAGTCGTCGTGGGCACGAAGTGCACCATTTTGGTCAAGCGATCCACAAACACTAGTATCGCTGTATGACCATCTCGCGTCTTGGGGAGATCGGTGATAAAATCCATCGACACACTCTCCCAAGGTTCATCGGGAATCTCAAGTGGTTGAAGCAGACCACCAGGCTTCTGTGTGCTCGGCTTGTTCCGTGCACACGTGTCACAGCGAGTTACAAACTGCTGGACCTCAATGCCCAATCCCGGCCACCAGTATACATCACTGAGGGCCCACCGGGTTTTCTTGACACCCAGGTGTCCTCCATACTTAGTGGCGTGCACCTCTGCGAGAATATCATTCCGCAGGTTTCCCACATGTGGGACTACAATTTCTTTCTTGTGCCACCAGAGCTCATGCTCCCACAAGAGATTGTTTGTATTCTGTGGAATCTGAAACCAAGGGTTAATATCATACCCTGCGCGGATGCGTTTCAGAAAACCACCAAAGGCAATCTCGCTCACTCAAGCAGCTGCGAGGATGTTGAAACAAGCAGCAAACACAGCTTCATGTTCCTTATCATCAACACCCGTTGCTGCCCCAATCGGCTGTCTGCTCAGAGGATCAGCCATGTTCGTCGAGCCCGCTCGATATCGAATATCGTAGGTGAACCCACTCAGGAGTTCAGCCCATCGAGCTTGACGGCGGGTGAGTGTGGCTTGAGTGGCAAAATAGGTGTTCGGACAGTGGTCAGTCGTGACCACAAAGTCAACACCTTCGAGATAACATCTCCATGTTCGTAGCGCATGCACAACCGCCAACAATTCTTGTTCGGAAGTTGTATAGCGCTGCTCAGCCGGTGAAAGCTTTCTACTCTCAAATGCCACGGGGCGTCCTTCTTGCAAAAGAACTGCTCCAATCCCTACTGTCGAGGCATCAGTTACCACCTCGTAGGGCTTGGACGGGTCTGGCAAAGCCAGCACTGGAGCATTGGTCAGCATGGTTTTCACCTCCTCAAATGCCTTCTGGCATTGATCGGTCCACTGCCAAGCATTACCCTTACGAGTGAGGGCAGTCAGTGGGGCGACTACGGAGGAATAATTTTCCAAGAAACGGCGAAAATAGTTCGCAAGTCCAAGAAATGATCTGACCTGTCCCACGTCCTGTGGAACGGGCCACTGTTGGACTGCCGCCACTTTCTTTGGATCAACTTTGAGGCCATCGTTGCCTACCAAGTGACCAAGGTTTTCCAACTCGCGTTTGTAGAAGTGACACTTCCACAATCGAGCAAAGAATTTATGCTCTCGCAGTTTTCCTAACACCCATTTCAGGTGTTGCGTGTGTTCTTCTTCGGTCTTCGAGTACACGAGGATATCATCCAAGTATACCAGGACGAATTGGCCGATTGCCTCCCGAAACACATCATTCATTGCTCGCTGAAATGACGCGGGAGCATTTGTCAAGCCAAAACTTAACACACGCCACTGAAAATGCCCGAATGGCGTTCTGAAAGCCGTTTTTGGAACATCTTCTTCGGTGATTCGTAGCTGATGATACCCCTGAGCTAAGTCCAGCGCACTGAACCACTGAGCTCCCTGGAGCCGATCGAACAGATCCTCAATTCGTGGTAGAGGGTATCTGTTCTTCACCGTAATCTTGTTCAAGGCACGATAATCTACGCACATGCGTAATCCTCCGCCCTTCTTGTTAACGAACAAAATTGGTGCTCCGTAAGGGGATGCACTGGGTTCAATCCATCCTTTTCTGAGGTATTCCTCGATCTGTTGTTTGGCCTCTTCGTACTCAGCTGGACTGAGGCGATACAGAGGTCGAAACGGTGGAACCTTTCCTGGTTCAATAGGGATGGTGTGACCCACTGCGCGGTCAGGCGGAAGTCCATCAGGGATGGTTTCAAACACTTCCTTGAATTCCTCTGCCAGTATTTTCATTTGAGGAGGGAAATCCTCAATTGCTCGCTCCGAGGCCTCGACATTCTCAAGCTGTACCACGAATAGTGTATCAGCCGACTTAACAGAATGCCCGAATTGGTTGGCCAACACACACAGCGCGCTGGGACGTTCAGGCGTCTGTGTTTCAGTGGGCAAAGTATCATTGACTTGCCACTGGATTGCCTTTCCGTTCTTGTTGAACGAGACAATGTTGTACTGGAAGTCCAGAATAACTTCGTTGGCTCTCAACCAATCCATGCCCAGGATGAGGTCGACTCCTGACAAAAGTGGTAGGACATATACGCGAACTGTTTCGCTATAGTCCTGTACTTTCATGTCGATATGTGTCTGTCCTTTACTTGGAATGACACGATCGTCACCCAAGCGGATGGGACACGACGGTCCTACAACGAGGACGTTGCGTGTCGTAACCCAAGTTTCATCAACAAGGGAAACCGACGCGCCTGTATCGACGAGAATCCTTGCTTCGTCCCCATTCATGCGTCCAGATAACAGTAGATTCTGTTGAAATCTTGGACGGATGGGACAAGCGACAACAAGTTTAGGAGGTCGAAAGTACACCCTAAATTTGTTGTGAGCGCGTCCAAACCTTTGGGATGTGGTCCACCAAACATGGTGCCCCTTGTCCCATGTTGCCAGGATATGCCATTCGTGAAATCGGCGGAACAACTCTCCTTTCACGATTCGAGTCACCAATCCCACTGACGTGAGCGGGTGCTCTTGGACACAACGGTCCACAATATCCATGATTGCTGGCAACTCATTGAACGAGCAAGAGATGATTGAAAATTTATCTCTCAAGGATTCAATTGAGATGTTTTCAAGTGGGTATGATCGAGTTTTAAAAACAGATTTTTCATTAATAGAAGAGGCATACAAACAAGCGATTTTGCATGATGCAAGCTTCTCTAGCTTTAGCAAATCCTCATCACGAAGGACATAAGCCTCATCTACTCGATCTCGCTCACCAACTAGGTACCCACCCCCTAGTTGGACTTCGGAAAATCCTTCGGGCCCGAAGGGCCAGAACCATCCGGCTTCTTGCCCTGGTTGGGCTTGCCGGAGTTCTTGACGGACTTCCTCCAACGGCAGTGATAGGACTTGTGCCCGAGCTTGCCACAGATGCGGCAGCCTGCCGGGGGCTTATCCTCATCCTGAGGATCCTTGGCAGGCCCAGCATGGGCCCTCTTGGACTGAGTCCCAGAGGATTCCCCCTTCTGCTGATAGGGCCTCTTCCAAGAGCCACTGCCCCTGTGTGCGTGAGTCATGTACGCACGGAAATTCACATCCGTGTCAATGACCTGCTCCTTGCACTCCTTGTAGGTCCTCCACTGGTGCTCCCCGCGCACAACATGCACACGCTTGATGTGCTCAAGGAGACCCTTGAAGAACTGGTGGATGACCTCGCTCTCAGGAAGAGCAGTCTTCAGCAGCGACAGAGTTTTCTCAAACTCCTTGGCGTACTCGCGTACAGGCTGGTTACCGTACTGGATGTTCTCCAGGCGGCTACGCACCTCGAGCGCCGGGGGCTGACTCAGGAATGCCGCCAGCATGGCAGCTTTGAACTCCTCCCAGCCAAAAGGATGGCCATTAGCCTCTGCGTGGCGCTTGTTGGCATACACCAACTTGCTCGCAGTGTCGTCCAGGGCAAGGGTTGCAGCGACCACACGAGCCTCGCTACGCACATTGTGGATGGACATAAAGTCCTCCGCAATGGAGAGCCAAGTCTCGACGTCGGTCTTGCCATGGACAAAACGAGGCAGGGCCGAAGGGCAGGAGCCAAAGGCAGTTGCTGCTGCAGTAGGAGGCTCAGCACGTGCTCCAGTAGGAGGAGGAACAGCAGGAGGTGCATCAGCAGGTGCAGCACGGCTGTTAGCGGCGTTGGCGACTCGCTCTGCTGCAGGAGCAGGCTGGTAGAGGTTTCCACGCCGGATCTCCCTGTACTGGGTCTGAAGCACAGAGATGCTTTTCTCCTGCTTCTTGAGCTGATCCTGCACGAACTGAAGAGTGTTGTGCAGGTCCTGAATGAGGCTGGAGGTGTCGTTTTCCTTAGGGATCAACTGCACCTCCCTGGTCAGCTGCTCAATCAAGGCCTGAAGCTTAACAGAATCAGCCTCCAAGTTCTGGATACGACACTGTTGCACTCCAATGAGAATATTCTGCTCCGTGAGTTGAGTCTGGAGCTTGACAGCAATGTTCTCAGTTTCATTGGAAACACCCTCATCAGAGCCAGCCTCTTCCTCATTTTCAGCATCAGCCTCAAGGTCAGCTTCACTTCCATTGATCTCCATGTCAACCACGAAATCCTCAAGGTTGAGATCAATGTCAGCAGCAGCAGCAGCATTATCTCCCTCAGTGCCAACAACGGGCACCTCCTTAGTAGCATCCATCTCTTGACCAGCAGCCATGAAACAGGTTAAGGAGAGGAGATCTCAACAGATCTTATAATAATCTTTAAGAAATCTGATTACTCTTATAGAATAATCCAATACAGAATCTCTTAAGATAGACTTGTTTGCCAAATCTCTCTATCACCTCAATGATAGAGCAAGATATACTCAAGAGAGTAATCCTCAACAAGCCCTATATAGATCTGAAGGTACACTCTTCTACACAAAGTAGATCAAGAGTCTTCCACCAAAGGTGGGTAAGAGAATTTAATCTCTTCAAATTTCTTCTCAATGTTGATGAAGAAAAATGAGCTCCTTGTAGATCTTGAAGCTCCAATGGTGTGTTGAGGAGATTGAAGCTTGAAGCTTGGAGATCTTGTAGAAGCTTTTGTAGATCTTGAAGAACCACTTGTAGATCTTGAAATTTCTTCAAAATCTTCAAAGATCTTGATAGCTCCTTGGATGAAATCCTGGATCCACAAGCTAGGATCCTCTAAAAAAAAAAAGTCCAAGTAGCAAATGGCCACACAAGGCCAAGGAAGAACCTTGCTCTAGATACCAATGTAATGCCCAGGGCTATTATAATGGCGGTTACAAGGCTTTTATAATATTCCAATACAAAATAGTAGCTTTAACTAGCCTTAATAGCCTTGGAGATGAAGATCTTCTTGATGCCTTTGATGAAAAGCACTTGGAGTAGTAGTGTAGGGAGACTTGTGAGAGAGCCCAAAAGGACTTAGAGAAACAATCCCATTTCCAATTGTTTTGTTGGAGTGGGAGGTTGAGAATGAGCTTGCTTAGCTCAGACCCCCTCAATACACCCCTTGGGGAACTATCCCAACCATGGTTTCCATGGTGGGATGGTTCCTAGGCTTGGAGCCTATGTGGCAATTGTGTTGGGTTGGAAAACCCAACTTAGAACCATTCAATGGTTGTGTTTAGGATAGAGTAGATTGTAACACTTGTTTGGCAGTTTCTGATTGGTTGGAATTCCAACCTTCAACATTCTCTTGGTTGAGTTGGAAATGTTCCAAACCTCCAAAGTTGAGGCTTGGCAAACCCAAACCAAGTTTCATCCCAACCAACTCAACCATCTTCTCCAACTCTTCCTTTGTCGAGAGAAGTTCTCAACAATTGACTTAGAGAGAGATCGATGGTTGTTTGCTCGGTAGTTAGGGTAATACGTTACAGCCAAGTTGAGTAGGGATTTTTTTGCGATAATTGGCCCGGCTGCGGGCTCAACGGCGATGGCACGATATCGTGAGCGCGTGCAGCGCGCGTGGGCACTGGCGTGGTGGATCGCCGCCCTTGTCGCGCCCGTCACAATGATCATCATGGTGAATACCGTGCCGCTCGAAGCCACTCAAGGCAAGTGTCGCTCGAAGTAGAATGCCTCTTTTTGATCGAATGTGATCATTTGCGTGGCAAGTGGCTCGAGACCTCGCGGCGGAAGAGTCGCAGCATTAGAGGCATGCCTTGTCACCGCCACGGCGTATGTATGATAAACTAGCTCGCCGCACAATGTCCCAGAATGCGCACTGCTGTCACCCCACACGCGCCGCCCGTGCGGCGACATGACCACCTGGCATGGAAAGGACAGCGAAGGACGTAAGGACAGAGAGAAGGTCGAAGGACTGAGAGCAAAGGTCGAATTTCAGAAGGCAGAGTGCAAAGGACGAATGGCAGAGAAAGGGCGATGGCAGAGAGCAGGGCGAGGTGCAGAGAGCAAGGGCGAGGGGCAGAGAGCAAGGGCGAGGGGCAGAGAGCAAGGGCGAGGGGCAGAGAGCAAGGGCGAGGGGCAGAGAGCAAGGGCGAGGGGCAGAGAGCAAGGGCGAGGGGCAGAGAGCAAGGGCTAGGGGCAGAGAGCAAGGGCGAGGGGCAGGGAGCAAGGGCGAGGGGCAGAGAGCAAGGGCGAGCGAGGGGCAGAGAGCAAGGGCGAGGGGCAGAGAGTAAGGGCGAGGGGCAGGGAGCAAGGGCGAGGGGCAGAGAGCAAGGGCGAGGGGCAGGGAGCAAGGGCGAGGGGCAGGGAGCAAGGACAACGACCCGCTAGAGCACCAAGAGAAGGCAGAAGATGTGAGAAATGTAATTTGTTTTTTGAGCATGGTGTTGAAACTTTTGTCAGCCAGAGCAAGCAGGCTCCATAAGTGCTCGTCCCGGTGGGTGAGTTGTGCGACAAAGCGTTGCAAAAGAGGGGGGCGAGATGGGCGAGGGGGACATATGATGGCAATCAATGAGCGTGAGTTGTCTTGAGACGGACGTCAGCCGTGGGGTTTGTTGTAGAGAGTGTCCAAACTCTCCCAGGAAGGGCCTCCCCATCCCACCTCACCCACCCATTTCGCCCCCCTGACCCCACCAACTGTCACACGTTGCAGTGCAATTCCTGCAGGAGTGCCAGGCAGCATGGGGGCGGAGCATCTCCGGGTGGAGTGGCGCGAGTCCCGACTGCAGCAGTGCCACGGGCCTCACGTGCGACCCCTCTGGCATGATCACTGCCCTGTGAGGCCATGGGAGGCAGTGGGATTTCGAGGATAGGCGTGAGGCGATGGGCTTGACAGGCTGTGAGTGAGAGTAATGGAGTCAGAGGTTGAGTGCGAGAGGCCATCATGTTCTTATCGCCTTTCTTGAGAACGCTTGCTCAGTGCACACCATTATTTGACTCGCCATCATTGTCACACACACCGTCATTGTCACACAATCATCCACACACCGTCATTCACACACCATCATTCACACACCATGAAACAGGCGACTCCAAAATTACAAGCTGGGAGGGCAGATTCCAAACTCCCTCAGCAGCCTCACGAAGCTAACAACTCTGTACGTCCTCAGCGCCATGTTGCCACTCCACCTTCCATCCCACAGCAGAGCTACGCCATCTCTTCTGTAGCCTACCTCTAGCCTACCTCTCCTACCTCTCACACTTTCCCTCTATCTTTCCCCCCTTCTCTCACATATGGCCTCCCTCTGAACCCCTTGCCCTAGTTTTTTTCTCCCGCCTCTCTATCTTTAACCCAGTTACCTCCTCCAATCCCCGTACCTCTCTGTCATGAATGGTTCTATTTTTGCAAGTGTTTCTCAGGTCTGACTTAAATTTGTGGCCAGCTGTCTAACCATGTGGCTGGCTAAGTTGGCCTTACCAACTAACCGAGCCAAGGCTCGGCTCGTAGAACCATCGAGCCTAGCCTTTGATTTTGCGTTGCTGCTCGCAGCGAGCCCGCACTGAGCTGATCTCCTTACATACAGCGCTTCGGCGAGTCTTGTAGCGGCTAGTTGTCGAGGAGTAAGAATCCGAGTTGTGGTGGTCCATATGGGATTGAAAACAAGCTTCAGGTCTGGTTCTTTTCAGCTTCAGGACTGGTTCTCTCCATTCCTAGCCCGCTTACCTCCTCCATCCCCTGTACCTCACTTTCGTGAATGGTCCTCTTTTTGCAATGTGTCGCTCGGGTCTAACTAAAATTCGTAACCAGCTGTCTAACCGAGCTGAGGCTCGGCTTGTAGAACCAACCCTAGGAACCCAGGTCGTGCTGGTCAATCTGGTTTTTAGAAACAGCTTCACATCTGATTCTTTTCTTTTTGTTTCCCATCAATACTTTCTGCTACTTCCCCTTGGCCCGTACTTCTCCACTCCACCATGCTTTTCGAAAGCTTGATTAGTTCAATTTCTTGAGTATCCACCGCTTATTTCGCTTCGTTGAGCAGTATCCGATTCGAGCAGAACCAAATCACGGGCAAGCCACTAGAGGCTCGTGCCCAGGCGGCTTGGCTTGAGGCCGGGTAGCTTGTGGCCAGCCTGGCCAGCTCCCGGCTCAACCAGAATGGCCCATTTGCGAACCCGGCAAAAGTCAGCTCGGCTCGTGTTGAGCCGACTTGGCTCAACTCGAAATAGCAACATGCCTACCCCAGCTCAAGCCGAGCTGGCTCGGCGCCCGTGGCTTAGGCTCGGCGAGGGGCAGCCAGGCTAAGTTGCGGAAGACGCGTCCAGCGTCTTAGACGCTGGCGTCTAGACGCAGCGTCTAAGACGCTAGACGCGAGTCTTGGGCAGACTAGACGCTGGGATAGACGCAAGTCCGGGCAGGCAAAAAAAGTTACGGGCAGCCAAAAGAACGTTCTATGGGGCATGGGGAGGGGGGGGAGAAGGACATTGCACACATTTTTTGGCAAAAAGGGTTGAGGGTTTTTGATGGAGAATTGAGTTAGCGTGTAAACCCCAAGGGTTTTATAAGGAGAATTGAGCCGAACTAGGTATGAAGATCACAGATGAGGTGGTTGTGCTCCTATATGCCTTCGGTCAAGGTAGAAAAAAACGATTGTCGAAAAATACGATTGTTTTTTTCGATGGTTTTTTACGGTACCTTTTGGGAAAAAAACGTCGTTTTTTTGTTAGACAAAAAAAACTCTTCAACTTCAAAGATACTGTTCTGATCACAAAAGCATTTCTAACAATCTTCCGCTGCATCATCAGCACTTCTAACGGCCCCCTTGTTCTTCTCACCAATCAATCCCCTTGTTTCAGCAACAGTTTTGGTCTTTTTACTGAAAAAAACGAAGGTTTTTTGCACGAAAAGTATTTATTTTCAAAAAACCGTTTTTTATCGTTTTTTACGATCGTTTCTTACGATACGGTATTTTACGATCAATATTTGAAAAAAACGTCGTTTTTTTTCACCTTGCCTTTGGTGGTGGCCCACAAAGCTAGGTGACCAAAAACGCTTTTGCCTTTAAGCGTATAGTGTTTATCCGCTTGCGTATACACGCAAAACGCTATACGCTAACGAATACGCAATACGCTCAGGGGTTTTTTTTTGGGCTGCCCAAAATCGAAAATTTTCGAGTATATCTAGAAAGTTCCGTCTTTTCACGGCGAAGAAGATGCCGTGCTCGAAATGCACGTCCGAGGTCTACCCTGGCCTGGACGTGCCTTCAATGTGTGGAGGTGGGTTTGTTTCCGTGCTTTCAATTCGCGGCGCCGGGATTGTGAGTTGGGTTACGTGGCACCAGTCTTTGGAGTCGCGATGTCCTTGACATTTCACATTGGGGTTCCACCCATTTCAACCGCTCTCGATCTACAACCTCCCTCCAATCCAACTTTGTTCCCACCAACAAATCCCACGCTACTTAACAAGCAGGTATAATTCTCTCTCGTCAATTCATCCTCCCGTCATTGTTCAGAGCTCCTTAGAATGGCTTCTGCAGTTGTTAACCCGACCCAGCCCACTCCCCCTCCTGATACCGGCACGGCCAGTCCTGATCGTGCGAGTTTACCTTCCAGATGTCGACCACGAGGTGTTCAAGCATTTCCGCCGCATAAAGGTGGACGAGGGGAAATCGCAGCAGTACGAGTGCAAGTACTGCTGCAATGTTTTTTCTGGTGCCGCCATCCGCTGCGCGCAGCACTTGGCGAGTTGGCGGAAGATGAAGCGCCGCGAAGTGGCGCTATGCAAGGAAGCCCCCCCTGAAGCGCGGGCGGCCATGCGGAAGAAATGCGAGGCTAAGGCTGCAGCGGCGGCTTTGCGCCGCGAGGCGACATCGGATGCCATTGCCTCGGTTACCAGCAGCGGCAAAAGGAGCCGCATTACTGACTACTTGGAGACGGATGCGGCAGCTGGGAAGCGCGAAGAACATGAGGCGTTGGCGCTCATGTTCGCGGGGTGTCGCATCCCTGAGCGCGTCGCGGATCACCCGCTCTTTATCAACGCCGTTTGTGCCATTCGGGACGCCGGCACAGGATACATCCCACCAAAGAAGGGGTTCATCGGCGGGGCGGGCTTGCGACTGTGCTGCGACAACATCGACAGGGGGCTTTCTGGAGTGAAGGCGAGCTGGAAGCGGACCGGCGTGACAATTTCTTCTGACATGATGACCGATAAGAACGGTCGCCCCCAGGCGAACGTGTTTCTCGTCAACGAGAGTTGCGCGGTGTTCAAGGACTGCGTGGACTGCCGCATGGAGAGTAAGACCGGCGGTTACGTCGCCAGCATCCTCAGGCCCGTGGTGGAGGAGGTCGGACCGGAGAACGTGGTGGCGTTCTGCACGGACGGGGGGTCCAACTACGCAGTGGCGTGCAACCAACTGATCGCGGAATGGCCGCACATTCAACACGTGCCCTGCGGCACCCACGTGTTGGACCTCTTCATGGAGGACGTCGGCAAGATGCCGTGGGCCAAGAATGTGGTGGACCCTGCGGGCAATATCAGCTCCTTCATCCGCAACCACCACTGGACGAGGGGATACTTGCGGAACCCGCAAATGGTGGGTGCAAGGATGCTGCAGGCGCTGAAACCGGCGGGAACCAGATTCGGGACACAATACATTGTTGTGTCCCGTCTCTGTCAGCTGCGGCAGTCGCTTGCACAGATGGTGGTGTCTGATGTGTGGAAGGGCTGGGCAGTTGGGGACAGGAAGAAGCCTGCGGAGAAATTTGCAGCGCAAATTCTTGATGACGCGTGGTGGAAGACGGCGGAGTTTTTCTGCAAGTTGATGAAGCTCCCGTTCTTCGCAATGCGTAAGACCGATGCGGATGCCAAGGGGATCATGGGCCGTATGTATGACATTATGTTGCAGTTGACCGAGGATGTGGGGACAGTGGTGGAGGAGGATGAGGAGAAGCTCTCCCACTCCGACAAGGTGCAGATCCGCCGCCTGCTGAGGGACAGGTGGGACGGCAGCCTCGCCTGCTCCATGCACGTTGCGGGGCGGATTCTCAACCCGGCGAACCAGGATGAGGACATCTTCGGCTCAGACGCGGAGTGCACAAAGGTATTCAAAGCCTTCATCACTCAGCACGCCGAGCACCTTTGCAATCACGGGAAGGAGGGGGAAGATGGGGATGACATTGGGGAGGTTTTGATGGAACTGCAGGACGGGGTGAGGGCATTTCTGGATATGAAGGGAAGTTTCGGGATGGGGGATGCAATTGCTCAGAGGAACTTGGTCAAGGAGGGCAAGTATGACATGGTAAAGTGGTGGCAGTGGCACGGCACTGACGCACCAAAGCTGGCGGCCCTCGCCATCAGGACTCTCTCTCAGCCCGTGTCAGCTTCACCATGTGAGAGGGGATGGTCAACGTGGGAGGGGGTGCACACGGCCCGCCGGAACCGGCTTG